GATTTCTAACACCCTCGAAATGCATTTTACTCATTCCTATTTATCAAACAATAAATTAAAAACTCTCTCTCTCTCTCTCTCTCTCTCTCTCTCTCTCTCTCTCTCTCTCTCTCTCTCAATTCAATTCAATTCAATTCAATTCAAATTGCTTTATTGGCATGACTGTACATATTACAATATTGCCAAAGCTTGTAACACATAGCATAGTGAAGACATCAATAAAAACAAAGTATTATAACAACTTAAATTGAAATGTACAAATTAAATTAATTGCAAAAAATAACAGTGTAACAGATTATAAATTCTATGAACGTTTGATACCACAGTGTTTTAACATACATATATACACACATACACACATTACTGAGGGTCACTGTGGTGGACATTAGGGAGACACACTGAGGTCACACATTCACACACATTCACCTACTGTCTCTCAGGCTGTGGCACGCACACACGTATCTGGCAGCCAGTGCTGCGGTCTGTCCCTCTCCTAGTAAGATCTTTATCTGCTCTACTTCAGTCATGGTTGTAAAGTTGTGTATTAAGTTATTAAGTTTTTTGAAGTAGAGGTCTCTGATCGAGCTGTATTTGTGGCAGTGGAGGAGGAAGTGTGTCTCTGTCTCGATCTCTCCTGTGCTACACTGAACACACACCCTTTGCTCTCGGGGTAGCCAGCTCTTTCTGTGTCGGCCGGTCTCGATGGCTAGACTGTGTTCACTCAGCCTGTACTTGCTCAGGATCTGTCTCTGCTTTGTGTCTCTCACACTCTGGAGATATTCCTCCATTTCATAATTTGATTTCAGATTTCGATAGAATTGTAGTTTACTTTGTGTTTTGGTTTCCTGATCCCAATGTTCCAGATATGTATTTTTAGACTGTTTAGTAATTTGGTTTATTCTGATGTGTGTGTGAGGAGCAGTGCTGGTCTGAGACTGGTGAGTGTTAGTAGGGTTAGTCGAGTTAGTGAGTCTGAGAAGACTCTGTAATGCTTTAAAATGTAGCGATTCTGTGGAACTTGATTTTAGATGCATCCAGAATTTGAGGGATCTTTTTTGCATATTAATAATCAATGGGAATCGGCCTAATTCTGCCCTACACGCATTATTGGGTGTTTTCCTTTGTAGTTTTAGTATCATTTCTAGTATCTCTCTCTCTCTCTCTCTCTCTCTCTCTCTCTCTCTCTCTCTCTCTCTCTCTATACACTCACCTAAAGGATTATTAGGAACACCATACTAATATGTGACATGATGTGTTTGACCCCCTTTCGCCTTCAGAATTGCCTTAATTCTACGTGGCATTGATTCAACAAGGTTCTGAAAGCATTCTTTAGAAATGTTGGCCCATATTGATAGGATAGCATCATGCAGTTGATGGAGATTTGTGGGATGCACATCCAGGGCACGAAGCTCCTGTTCCACCACATCCCAAAGATGCTCTATTGGGTTGAGATCTGGTGACTGTGGGGGGCATTTTAGTACAGTCAACTCATTGGCATTTTCAAGAAACCAGTTTGAAATTTTTCGAGCTTTGTGACATGGTGCATTATCCTGCTGGAAGTAGCTATCAGAGGATGGGTACCTATCTGGCGCATTATGCGCAAATGATTTAGTTAGTGCCATTTGTGCATTCATGCGTTTGACGCGAATTCGCGTCTGCCGCCCGAGTTGAAAAATCTAAACTTTGCCGTGAATTCGCGCCGTGTTAACCAATCAGGAGCCTAGCTGCTTGCTCACGTGGTGAAGTGTATGGATGCTTCAATAGATTTTTTTTTATATGACTAAATGCATGGTGGGATTATGCACAACAAAGCAAATATTTGATCACTTAAAACATTATTTCTATATATGAGACATGTTCATTTTGTATTGAATGTTATTCATTCCATATCTAGATTATATGAAATAGTATTATGATGTAAAGACAATCAACATATGTGCATAAGTTCGTGTCTGGACGTGAGAGAGAAAAAAATCACAGGACAGGTTAATAACTTTTGGAAGCTGGCTCTATTTATCATCAAAACAAAAATAAATGACAGCTAGATTAGGTGGATGAGGGTGAGGGTGATCCTCGCTCAGATGCAGGACAACAGGTCATCAAACTGGGCGCGGGACAGTCATCCAAGCGCAATTCCTGGAGCGAGCAAATGGTGAAACTAGCCAAACGAAGGGTCCGGTGGACACAAATTCTAGCTCTCCAGAGCAAATACAGTGTGGTGAATCTCTCGATGAATGCTCGATCAACATAAACAAAGATGGTCGTCAACGGGTTTCGGTTTTGATGCGCGAGACCCGCGTAAATTTCGCTTCAAACTTTTTATTTTAACCGCGTCAGTTTCGCTCTTGACGCGCGAATTAACACAAAGTGGTCAAGCGTCAAACTAGACGCGGTAGACGAGAATTTGACGCGCTATTCGCGTCCGGTGTGAACGTAGTTTAATACTACTCTTATCAAATCTTCTCCCTCCTACTATCAACCGTGAAAATGGGGGAGGTATAGCTAATATTTTTTACATTTCTTTTCTGTGTCAACAGTCATCCTATGGTGACTAATGGCTCGTTTCCACTGAGGGGTACGGTACAGTACAGTACGGGTCGGGTCGGGTACACCATGATCAGGCTTGCGTTTCCACCGCCAACAGTACCCTTACTTGATAGGCGTGGTATGCTGGAAAGAAGCGATCGACGTCATTTTCGCGCAAAGAAAGCGACATAGTAAACCACAATGGATGACAGACAGCAGATCTTGTTCTTGCTTCTCGGCATGTTTGTCACTAGAAACAAGCGCTGGCATTAGGCGTTTCCAAGAAGCCAACGCAAATTCCGACTCAGGAGAATGATCCCGAGGACGCGAGTCCAGTAATTCTGCTAATGGAACAGCGCGTTCTTGAACTCGGCACTCTGCTCGCTCTGGCTCTGCGACTCCGGTTATCTCTGTATGTTCATTTTAGGCAACAATAAAACTAAATATGTTATAAAACACCACTCTGCTTCTTTTCGATTTCATTTCAATACATTTTAAACATTCTAAAGCACATAAATGTGGTTCAGGCAACGCATAGCCTATTGATTATCACTGCATGTATGTAATGTTATATTTATAACAAAACTAAATATAAAACAACCCTGCCTCTTTTCGTTTAAATTTAAAAATATTAAACATATTCCAGGCAATATGTAATGTAATGTATTGCATATCGCATTGGTACAAATGTTGCAATAAACAACATTACAGATGATCTTGTAATAAAATAAATGACAAAACTATATCTTTTTGTTGAATTTCAGTTTTATCAATAATAGCCATTATAAAAATACAAGTAAAAGGTACAAAATACAGTAAAGCTTAAATAACATCAAGAAACAATTCAGTCAGTCAAATATAGCCTACAAATTCAGCGCTCAAAGATATGAAACTTCACGTAGCCTTCTGCCAAAACTATTGGCCAGGGAACGAATTATAGATTCACGAGACCAAAGATCCCCTGTTAGGTTTATACAAGACGAACTATATCTCATGTTTAACCACTACAGAGACGTCCGAGTCAGCGGCAAACATCAGGATGACTAGCCGAGGAAAGGCTGTTCCCGGCGGGGGACACGAGCGCGAGCGTCCGGTGATCGCTTGGAATGGATCTCAGTCAAATTATCAAAAATCTATAAATAAACCACAGATTTGATCTTTAAAAAACTACTTTCTCACCTGAAAAAGTCTTAAAACTACATTTCGTGACACAATAACAGTAGAATTATATTTCAACTGTATGCTTCTAATGCCCTTGTAGCACGCGCGAGTGACGATACTCTGTCCACCAATCACCGTTCTGCAGTGAGTCTAGCTCCACCTTTTAGTACCCTTTCACTGTGCTAGGTACCCTAACGAAAGGGTACCCAAAAAGTGGTACAGTACGGTTCGGCTTTTTGGTACCATTCACAGCTTTTGACAGTGGAAACGCAAATAATTGCGTACCGAACCGAACTGTACCGTACCGGACCGTACCACTCAGTGGAAACGAGCCATAAGCTTCTTTTGAATATCTTTGTGCTGTCCCTAAAAGTTGTCCAAAAATCCTGCTGCTGACTGCATTTAGATGTACTATTTTATCAGTTGCAGTCTTCATTGAAGATTTCTATGAATTGCTCTCTGAAATCTGTGTTCACTTTGACAGCATTGTTATATCAGGTGATTTCAACAATCATGTAGATAACCCTGAAAACCCGCATGCAAGAGAATTTCTGGCGCTGATTGATGCCTTCAATCTGACACAACATATACAGGGCCCCACTCGATCTTGTCATCACACAGGATGTAACTGTCTCCACATCTGTTGTGGATTTAACTTTATCTGATCACTGTTGTATTTTCTTTGAAGCCTGCTTGTTCCCCTATCGTCAGAATAACTCTATTATGATCGGAAAGAGAGCTATAAATGACAAAACTTGTGTTCTTTTTGAGCAAGCACTCTTTATGTCCAAAAGTTTATTCCCAAAGACTGCTGAAAACTTGTTGGATGATTTTAATTTAAGAATGACAAATATAATGGATGACATTGCTCCTTGAAAACTGAAAGAAATGTTGTAAATCCAAACTTAATTCAGACTATCTGATCCATAAAGGGACACTTTACGAATACAATTCTGTAATTTGTAAAGCAAGACAATTTAATTTCTCCACTTCTATTAATAGTAAAGCAAATAACTCCCGTGCGCTATTCTCCACCATTGAGAACTTAAAGGGGTCATATAATGCCATTTTTGTACAAGTTAATGTGGGCTATATCAATAACCTGAAGTTGCCCTCAGCCTAGAGACTGTTCTCAACTGCTGTGTCAAATGCAAATAACTCCTAAAAAATAAATTCATCATTTACTTACCCTCATGTCATTATATGCATTTCTGTTTTCTGTAGAACTCAAAATAATTCTCATTTTTGAGTAGGTATGAACAGAATATTTGTTGCCATGTATTGACATGCATGTGTTTTGCTGTTATCGTTAGAAACATCACTCAGATCCCAAAGGCTCAGAAAGACTGACGGAAACACAGATGCAGGTAGACGACCTGAAAGGCATTATGGTCCGGAACATTGGTGAGACTGAGTCACTTGAAACACTTTTATAAATGTCAGTGAACGTTTGAGTGAATATGTGGTGCACTGTGCTACTGTAGATCTCGTAGCTCAGAGAGGAGAGCGGCTTGAACTGCTCATCGATAAAACCGAGAACTTGATGGATTCTGTGAGTTTTGGTTTTGTCTCGTTTGAAACATATTTGTTTGTCACTGTATAATATGTATGCTGATTTAAGTTTCTCTTGTCTGTGCAGTCTGTCACCTTTAAAACAACAAGCCGTAACCTGGCCCACGCCATGTGTATGAAGAACATGAAGTTAACAATCATCGTCGTAATAGTCGTGCTGGTAAGTTCTGGAGCGGACTGTAGGTTTATTGTCAGTACGTCTCACTGCAGTAATGGACAAGCCCAAGAGCGACACATAGCAAAACACTATATAGTCAGATTTACTAAACCCTCTTTTGGCATTGAAAAACTAATGTCAGGATTTACTAAAGACAAGAAGTGTAAAATTAGCACTGAAAAGGAGTTGACAGTTATTTTTGCGGCTGACCTTATTGCTCATGCATTTGTTATAGTTATGGGAGGAGAATATTTAAATGAAGCAAGGTGATTTACTAAGGTTTACGTTTGTCTGTTTTTTTGCGCCATTATTTACCACACCACAAAAGCTTGTCTTAAACTGGACGCTATTTTGCTCTTCTCTTGGTAAAATCTATTGGTCATTATGAAATTGTTCCGGCTACGTCTGTTCTTTAATTTTTCCGTCAGTAGATCACAAGCAGAACTTTACACTCCCATCTGTGCTTTTTTAGAGTTGCACTCTTAAACTAATTTGCCCAGTTTAGTAAAGCTGGACCTATATCTCAATTTTTGTTTTTAGAAGACTGATTTACTCCCCATTTAAACCAAATTAATTATAAAATGTTTAATGCAATAAATCAAAATAAAAATCAAGTTCAAAACAATCAAGACATGTTCTTCTCACTATTTCATTAAATCTGGGGTAGGCAAGTTCTGTCCTACAGAGTGTAGCTCCAACCCTAATCAAACACGCCTGAACAAGCTAATCAATGTCTTCAGGATCACTAATGCCTCATTTACACTGCGCATTACGGCTGTGACACGGCTACCGGCCCACTCTACGTAGTCAATGCTTGTGTTTACACAACGCAGTCTCATCCCAAAAAGTCATATAACTGACGTTTTGGGACGTCTTTTGACCATACGTCAATATTCGCCTTTTTAGGGCCCCCTTAAACGTCGGTAGATGAGGTTATGGGATCCTAACTCTACCCCAGACCTAAACCTAACCCGTCATCTAACTGACGTTAAAGGTAAAGCGTCAGTTGTATGACGGCCCGGGATCGCCATCTACCGACGTTTAAGGGGGCCCTAAAAAGGCGGATATTGACGTATGGTCAAAATACCCAAGACGTCAGTTATATGAATTTTTGGGATGAGAATGTGTTGGTTTACACCAGCGGTGCATTTCTGAATCGACCCAAAAGTGGCTCTCTGCGCCATTTCACTAAACGTAGGCTCAGAGTTTATTTGCGTCCAACCCGCTAAAAGTTAAAAAACACTGTAAATTTCAAAATGAGCACCCTGTGCAGACTATATTGTATCGCACACCAGTATATCCTTGGTAGAAACCGTAAACTGTAAGGCAGAAACCAAAAAATCAAGATAAAACACGTTAGACAGGCAAATCACATGGTCCCGCACATCCAGTCGCTTCTGAAATGCTCTTGCTTTGAGTTGGCACTGTGTGGAGGACAGAACAAAACCTCATCGGAGCCATAGCGTGCCGCAGACGTGTAAATAAGGTTCTGCAACTTAAATCGTAAAACCTTTTGCGTTTTGGACGTTCGTAACAGCATTTTGGGTGCAAGTTTTTTAAAAACGGCCTCCGTGTAAACAAAAACGTGAATCTCTGAAGACGATGACGTCATGCATGATGCACACACATATTACGTGTTCAGTCTATAGTGTTTACTGTATTCTGCTGCAGAAAACAGTTGTTTTTTTTTTTTGGTTGTTTTCGCGGATCTGTGTTAATGGCGATAGTTTTGACAATGATGTCGTCTGTACGTGAAAACCTCAAAGGAAAAACTTCTCTGTTTTAAACAAATCGTTGTCGTGTAAATGTACCCTGAGCTACAGGCAGGTGAGGGTTTATCAGCTAAACTCTGCAGGACAGCGGCTCTCCAGGACCCAACTTGTCCAGCCCTGCACTAAATGATTCTTAGAAAGACTGATATGCAATGATACTTCTGTCAACATTTTTCACTTTTTCTTCTGCCACTGTTTGAGCTTTTGTTATGATCTTGCTCTGTCATGCTGGTCAAATTACACAAGAACAGCAATGTTTTAATATTGCCAAGAAGCTGCAATGCATTCATTTTAATGGACCGAGATAACTATAAACAAGCTATACATTCAAAACAGATTATAATACCAAAAAAGTACATATAACTGTATTACATTTTTGCGACAACTTGTCCCTAAACTGTGTAAATGAATGAATGTCCAGTACAAAGAGTTATTTTATTACAAACTGTATGGTCATATACAGTGGAGGCTTAAATATTGAATATACTTTTTCCAAGTAATCCACTATCAACAGTTTCTTCCAGAACTGCTAAATAAAACTATTAAATTAGAGCACAGGCATCTGTAGCTATAGTTCTACTGCAATTGAAAGATTGCAAATAATTCTGTCCTCAGAATTAAAACCTGTCCTTAGTATTAATACCTGCCCTGAGTATTAATACCTTTCCTCAGTATTAAAACCTGTCCTCAGTATTAATACCTGTCCTCAGTATTAATACCTGTCCTGAATATAAATACCGGCCCTGAGTATTAAAACCTGTCCTCAGTATTAGTACCTTTCCTCAGTAGTGCTCATTGGCTTTTAGCGAATATCTGTGGAATCATTCGTGCCACTTTTTGACATCCTGTGGGGAAAATTTTGTAACATTCTTAATAAAATGCTTTAACTGCATGTGAGGAGGTCAGACGTACAGTAGACATTGATTCTAGTTAATAGTGTTCTTCTGGTTTTGTCTTATCGTCTCAGGTAGTGCTGTATTTTATCGTGACAGCTGCCTGTGGAGGACTCAGCTGGCCCAGCTGTCGGAAGCAGTAGAAACCTTTAGTATGCAAGACCACTCACCTCAGAGACTTACACAGGACAGCACTAAACTCCTGCAGTGTTTCCTGTGCGCTTACAAACCACACATCATTGTCTTTTCACGTTGATGTTAACCGTCTAGTTTTGATTCTTTGAGTTTTTTTCACGGTGTTTTAATGCAGTTCTAAAGGATGGAGAGTTTAAAGGAGAAGTCCACCAATAAATGAAAATTCTGTTGTAATTCATTTTTCTGCAAAACACAGGAGGTGTTAATTCACACTGCTCATCATCATTACTATGTTACGAAAATAGAAGGGGATTTATTCTGTTAAGTTAACAAAAGAAAGTGCCATAAAAGTTGTCCACATTATTCATGCAGTATAGACAGTGTTTTCTGAAGCCATATAATCGTTTTGTGTGAGGACCAAAATTGAAGTCGTTATTGACAGATCTCCTCCTTCGTAGTGCTTAATTCGGTAACACTTTAGAATACGGTTCCTTCGTTAATGAATAACTACACAAGAACTAATGAGTAACACAATATTAACAATCTAGTAACTATTATTAACTAACAAGAAACTCCGATTAACGAACTAGTAAGTAATAGCGCACAGACGAAAGTGGTAGTTCACTATTAAGTAATCAATAACTACTATTTTTTAATACTTCCCAGAGAGCTACTGAAAAAGTTTATTAACAATCTAGTAACTACTATTAACTAAAAGAAATTCTTATTAACGAATTAGTAAGTAATAGCTCACAGATGAAAGTGTTACTAGATACTTCTGTGGGAATTACTAATTATTTGGATCCGTATTATAAAGTGAAGATTATTGGAACTAACTAGTAATTACTCAAGTGTTACTAAAGACATTTTCTAAAAGTATACTAAAGTTCACCAAAAATCTCAAACGGTTGCACAAATCATGACTAGATCATGTAGTAACACTTGAGTAATTACTAGTTAGTTCCAATGATCTTCACTTTATAATACGGATCCACATAATTAGTAAGTAATAGCTCACAGATGAAAGTGTTACTAGATACTTCTGTGGGAATTACTAATTATTTGGATTCATATTATAAAGTGAAGATCATTGGAACTAACTAGTAATTACTGAAGTGTTACTACATGATCTAGTCATGATTTGTGCAACCGTTTGAGATTTTTGGTGAACTTTAGTATACTTTTAGAAAATGTCTTTAGTAACACTTGAGTAATTACTAGTTAGTTCCAATGATCTTCACTTTATAATACGAATCCAAATAATTAGTAATTCCCACAGAAGTATCTAGTAACACTTTCATCAGTGAGCTATTACTTACTAATTAGTTAATAAGAATTTATTTTAGTTAATAGTAGTTACTAGATTGTTAATATAATTTTTCAGTAGCTCTCTGGGAAGTATTAAAAAAATAGTAGTTATTGATTACTTAATAGTGAACTACCACTTTCGTCTGTGCGCTATTACTTACTAGTTCGTTAATCAGAGTTTCTTGTTAGTTAATAATAGTTACTAGATTGTTAATATTGTGTTACTCATTAGTTCTTGTGTAGTTATTCATTAACGAAGGAACCGTATTCTAAAGTGTTACCCTTAATTCTCATTTGCTGTTGCATCTTGAAGATTCTTCACATCCCAGTAAAGGCAGTCAGTTTTGATGTTTTTTTTTTTTTTTTTTTTTTTTGAGGGGGGGTAAAATTTGTCACAGTTGGGTTTGTTCCTCACACAAAGCTATTGTATGGGATGCTTGTGTTATCGACTATCTTTATGGTACACCAGTTATATGATCTTATTTTGCAAGGCGGGAAAGCAAGGTAAATCATCATTTTCTGTGTTTCATGGAAGAAAGTAAGACAAATTGAATATGAGGGTGAGTTGTTTCTATTTTTTGATGGTTATCAACCCCATTCATTTCTTGAAGGAGAAAAAAAGCATAACTGTAATGAAATAGATTTTTTTTTATCAATGATTTAGCACATCTGTTTGATCTTTGTTTTAATTAGATTTTATATATGCTGCTTACAATATCAGGATTTGTACTGTATGTTAATCTTTCACATTTATAGTTATCATACTAAAGGGAACTCCATGGTCCCTTACTCTTACCAAGTTTATATTCTACAGACTTAACTAATGTCCATCACCAAGATGGCTTGTGTTTGATTGATTGAGTAGCATATTTGTTTTTAAAGTCATCTGTATTAAACAGTATACATGTGTGATATTGTTCATGCAGCAAAGAGTTAGTCTAATTAACAACTTACATGTTTTTGGGTGAATTTCACAAAACCTGTCAATAACATGTTTCACCCCAAGATGAAATAAAGAAGAAACTATATTGTTGCATAAAGAAAATGAAGACGATTTTAGGACCATTATTATTATTTTGCACTGTGACATTTTCTTAAAATTACCGCAAGAAAAAAAACACGTTGAAACTTCCAATACTCACATAAAATACAACAGCTACACAGAATAGTAACATGTATAGAACACAGAATAACATGTACAGAATACCTGCTATATACAGATTATTGTGAGTATTGAATGTAATGTGCAGAAGTGGTAAGAGTATGTACAGGCAGTGTGAAATTTGAATTTACATATTGTATTAAAGATTGAAGTACTGTGAATGTTTGTACACACCATAAAAAGTGGATTTGTTTTTCCCCAACATATTAGGACTTACAAATTACTTCGAATGTACATTTTGTAATAATGTGTACAGCGTAAATAAACAGAAATGCCCATATCTTGTATGGAAAAGTTAGTACATCCTACATTTACCAATTAATTAATTATTTGTATAGCACTTTTCACAATCCATGTTGTCTCCAAGCACTTTTCTGGAATGTAGTCCTTTAAATCTTAAAGGGTTAGTTCACCCAAAAATGAAATTGTCAGTATTTACTCACCCTCATGTTGTTCCAAACCTCTATGTGTTTATTTGCTCTGCTGAACACAAAGGAAGATAATTGGAAGAATGTTTTAATCAAAAAGATCTCAATCCCCATTTAATACCATAGTAGGAAAAAATACATACTATGGTAGTCAATGGGGATTGAGATCTGTTTGATGAACTAACCCTTTAAGTCAATGGTGAGTGGCAAGGAAACAACTCCATAACATGTTTAAGTAAAAGGGGGAAACAGTGAGAGGAAGCATGTCTGAGTATGTGTAACGTCTTGGTTACGGATTTAACCAATACTTTCCGTTGGATGACGACGAATGGGGTTTCGCTTAGAAAGCCTGTCAACTTCGATCAATATAAAACGAGCCAATGGCAAAAAAATGCCATGGGCCTGCGGAATTTGCCTAGCGTATCTCTGCCTTACCTCGTGAGTATAAAAGGAGGATGCCGGCAGAATACAGACATGTTTTTTTGCTGAGGAGCTGAGACTGAACTCAAGCGATCTCCGCAGTACAGCGGAAAGTAGCAGGAAAACGGAACTGTTGGAGTTCCATCGGATGACGACGAATGGGGATACCAGTCTAATCATGCCACCTTCTCAGCTGTCTTCCAGTGCCCTGCGTAAATCTGAGATCACTGTCGTGAGACTGGCATGGACGAAGGACTCCTATTTAGCAAAGGAATACCAAGTTACATTGGGGAGCATATCCCATAGCTTAGAGAAAATGTTGGGGGGGGGGGGGGACTTGGAGAATACACATGACCCGAAGGGTGCATATGGAGAACACTGGAATATTTCAGCCCCATGGGTGGCAAGGTGGAACAACCTTGAACACTAAGAAGACACCTTACACTTCCACTCTTACAGTGGAAATACATGTGGGGGGTCGCTCAGGAGAGGGACCATGCACATGTGATGCACCTAGCCAAAGCACAGGAAATAGACATTGGCACCAATGTCAGGAGTACTGCAGGAACTCAGGGCTTATGAGGCTTACCTGAGGAGAATATCGCACGTAACCAGTCTGTAGACTGGAATGTCGAGCAAGCGAAGACACCTGAGCGGGTCCAGTACTAGCTGGTTGAAGCGAGTACATGAGATGACAGGCTCCACTCAGAGATTGTAGAATCTGGTGAATGTGTTGGGGGTCAAGGCTGGGTCTGCCTCCTCCAAGGGCAACGCTCGCTACCAGAATTAGGGCTGGGACAGTTACTGCAAAACCGCAGTCACGTGACGCCTACCACATTGGCCTGCCATGTGTGCACGTTGTGTCTAATGACATGGATTCATTGATTCTAATGACATGAATTATGTATAATGACATTGTGTCTTACATGGATTCAAGGTTGTCTAACCAAAACTTATCAAAAGATGGAGCAGATCCGACCTTTCGCGAGTAATATTCCATTTGTATTAGAGATGCGCGAATGGGCTATTATTTAAACCGCAACCCCATCACAAAACTCATCATCCGTACTAACGTTTTTTTTGACAAATTTTCAAAACTGCCATCCGCTTATTACTGAATCCCCTCGGCATTCACCAATCACATGCCCTCGGACAGGAAGTAATACAGGGCACAATGAGTCGAGTTGTGAGAGGCAAACAAATTTATCTGTGTGCATCCCCGAACTGGTCCAAAATCAGCTGAACCGACTGGGGATGGAGTCACCATTCTCCAGGGAGGGGCTGAAGCCATGACAGCTCGTCGGCTGCACAGTTCAGGGCTCCGGGAATATAAATGGCATGAAGCGACCTCAGATGCTTCTGACTCCATATGAGGAGGTGGCGGGCGAGTTGCGACAATCGGCGGGAGCGCAGACCACCTTGATGGTGGATGTACACTACAGTCGCGGTACTGTCTGATCGGACTAATACACGCTGGCCTTAGAGCACGGCTCGTAAGTGGCGCAGGGTGAGCTGTACAGCCAACAACTCGAGGCAATTGACGTGCCATAGGCGCTGAGGTCCTGTCCGAGAGCCTGCGGCAGCACGTCCATTGCACATGGCACCCCAGCCCGTGGTGGAGGCATCTTTCGTCAAGACAACATGCGCTGTCTCGTCCCAGGGGCACTCCGACCCGTAGAAAACTGAGGTTCGACCACGGGGTGAAGGTCTGACGGCAAGTCGGAGTAACTGGTACTCGGAGAGTGCTGTGTTGCCATGCCCACCACTGCAGATGCCATATGCCCCAAGAGCCTCTGAAAAAGTTTCAGTCGAACCGCACTCTTGCCCTCGAACTGTTCCCGATGCCATACTCCTGGGCCAGTTGTGGAAATGGTTTAAATGTGTTGGATTTGAAAATATGCTTAATGTTGGTGATACCTTTTTCTGCCCATGTGTGAAAATTCAATGTTTTTTAATTGCTTATAAAGTCACGGTTGTTCCATAGTGGGGTGTGGTTAGATG